TGGATATGCATATAGATATGTTTGTAAAGATGGGTGCATGTTGTAATAGAAAAATATTGGGGGACCAAATACATCAATAAAAAAATGTTTCTGATGCATCCATCGATTCATACTAGAGCATACTAGTGAATGGTTAATGAGAATGGGATATATCTACATTTCTGATATGGAATAATTTACATGGTAGAAATATTGACATCAAAAACATAAGCTGCAGAAAGTAAGTGTAGGATAAACCATATGGTTAAAAAGAGAAAACAAAAGCAAATTAGGGTGTATACATATTTAATGTAAAGTAAAGAATATATTGAAAGTTGGCACATCAAAGTGTTGACTATGGGAAAGATCTTAGGTGGAATGGGACATTAAAGGAAAACTTGCCTTTTTTCTTTTATATATCTCCCTGTCTGTCTCAGTCCATTTGTATTGCTATAAAGGAATGCCTGAGGTCGAGTAATTTATTTTAACAAAAAGAATTGTATTTGGTTCACAGGTCTGTAGGCTGTACAGGAAGCATGGCACCAGCTTCTACTTCTGGTGAGACCTCAGGCCGTTTCCACTCATGATGAAAGGTGAAGGGGAGTCAGTGTGCAGAGATCACATGGTGAGAGAGAAAGGAAGAGTGAGGGGAGTGAGGTGCCAGGCTCTTTTTTAACAATTGGATCTCACGGGAACTAGTAGAGTGAGAACTCAGTCATTACTGTGAGGACAGCACAAAGTCATTCGTGAGGACTCTTCCCCCATGACCCAAACACCTCCCACCAGGCCCCACCTCCAACACTGGGATCACATTTCAACATGAGGTTTGGGGACCAGATATCCAAACTACAGAACAACACTGTCATTTACAACTTTGTAGTAAGATGAATTCACTTATAGGATTGAAAAAAAAAAAAAACAAAAAAAAAAACAGAAAAGCAAACAAACTCTTCCTTAGATAATATGTGCTCTGTATCTTTGAAACCTTCTAGGGAAAAATGAATAAAACAAAATTCCAAAACAACAGGAAAGAGGTAGGTAGTGGCAAATCTTTCAAATAGGAATATGTTAAATAAGGCTTAACAAAAGTCAACCTAGTAGCTAATGTTCACTGTGCTCTATAATGTAGTCTTTAAAAAAATTCAGTATGCACAGATTATAATAATCAAATATACTGTCACATTTTGCCATATTTGTCATATATGACAACCCTCCAGAGGTAAGAATCTCCAGTTACCCAGAACTCTTCTTTGTAAAATGAGAATCAGAATTGCTGCTTTCAATGACAGGTCCCTAAAGTGGAGATGAGAGTCTCTATTCTGTCACAGCAGAATAGAACGTCAAGGAAAACAGATGCTTTGTTTAGTCCGGCAAATTCTTTACTGCAACAAGTTACATTTCCTCTTGGTGATCATAATTTTAAGAGCAAAGATTCGTCTGACATACAAGAAAGAAGATACATTGCAGCTTGGAAAGGAGAAAATGGAATTCAGCAAAAGAAAGAAGAGCGGGCTGGACGCTGGCCTCATCACTCACGCACTGTAAAGCAAGACTCTCTCCTCAAGTGTTTTGTTATAAATTAGGAGGGAACACAGTGCTTTTCACTAAATCACTAAATCCCTCAAGAAGAAAAATCACATTTTTTAAGCCAGTGCTGGGAGATGCTTGAAAAATAGGAGCTACAGATTATGAGCATACAATGCAGTAAGTAAAATCCCTCCAAATGCAAATCCAAACTGGAGAGTGAGACTGTCACCAACCTCTTTGGAGCTTTCAGTCTTTTTTTCTGTCCCATTCTTCAGTCTTTTTGTCCCTATGTGAAACTGAATAGTAAATTATTATCATATCTGGAAGGTAATTTTATTGTCTAAACGTCTAGAGGTAAAACACACACACACACACACACACACACACACTCTAAAAGAAAAAAAAGCATTGACGTTCAGTAAGATATCATTGTATTAGAAAATAAGAGAGATTTTCTGTTTTCAAATCGAGGGTTTTTTCCTTCTCTCCACAAAGTTATGGAATTGAAAAGATGGCTAGAGAGGGGATGAGAAGCGTGGGCTGGGTTTGTGGTGACCACAGAGCAGATCCCTGCCCTACACCTGAGTCATTCTGCTGTTTTCTGTCCCTTCTCTGAGTGCCCCATTACCTTAGCAAAGCTTCAAGCATAGCTCGATTCTTCAGTAACCATCACAAGAAATACACTTTCAAATTGTTGTCTTTTCTTATTTTTCTCTTCTTTCCCAATGGCTTAGATGGGTTCCCTGGTGAATTTCTCCACTGATATATTACTAGCATAGTTGATATGTGCCAGTAATATGCAATATAGTCCTAGCAGAATATTTGCATACCAGTGTGACACAAACACCACGACACCCATCACATGAAAAACCCCTATGCGATGGAGAAGACATCTACCAGATGCTGTTCCCATCATCTCCACAGTCCCAGGAGAAAGTCTGTTCATCCTCACACTGTGTTCTGGACACACAGATTTGTGTTCTGAAACTAGCTATTTTCTTATACTCATACAATTTGGTAAGAACTATTTTCACCTGTTTGCACGAACTATCTGAGCCAAATAAATGTACCTGGAAATTCTTTCTCTGGCCAATGATGAGACCAGCATGATCAACCAAAGGTAATTTTTCTATTTCTGTTTAGATTTCACTGGTATCAAAAAGCCAGTTCTCTAACTGGATTTTCTGACTGACATGCTTAAGTGAGATTATCTTCACTTTCAACATCTTCGTCTTCCGTTTTCTAAATCAGGTCACATTCTGAGGAACTAGGGGTTAGGACTGAAACTTCTGACATGATTCAGTCCATCACACTCTTCATGTTTTCAGGAACTTTTCTTATGCTCCCTCAATTATGTACCGCCTTTTCCATTCTTCAGTTAGCTTATGCATCCTATGCTGCCCTACCTGGGCAGGTCTTATTCCTTGCACCCTACCATGCCTACACATATTGAAAGCCCTTATTCTTCACCCGAAGACCTAACTCAGCTACACTTTCCATCCCTCCAAAAAGACTTAATCATGTCTTAGTCTGTGTGACCATTGTTACATTCTTTTATAATTGGATTTGTCAAACTGTGTCTGCTAAAGTTTTATTTTGTATGCTTGTCTTCCATTAGCTGATGGGTGACATCCTCAGCGCCAAGCATAGTTCCTATTTTACAGGAAGTGATCAGTGGATGTGTTGAATGAATAAACCAATCATAACTCCTGAATGAGTCTTAATTTTTTAAAATAATTATTAATATCCTCTTGTTATCCTAAAGAGCATTTTTGTATCTATCCTCTTAGGCAAGAGACAATTTGGTGTCCAAAGGTATTAAGAAACTTACTAGGGACTTGGCAAACTGTGCAGAAAATGCAGGAAAACTCCCCACAAGTTGTTAGAGGGAACATTTATAGTTTAAGGGAGAAAAGTAATTGAAAGCACATCTTAAACAAAATGCTGAAGACCGTAATGTACCAAACTTCACACTGTTGATAAGATACATTTTCATTTTCTTGGTGGCTTAGGGGAAAATAAATGCTGGCATTGCCTTAATTGTTTATGGAAATTAGATTGCTTTGTCCCCACCTAAAACACTTCCTTAATTATACTCACTCCTAAAGTACTACTTTCTTACCCAGACAGGAATAAATATACCTTTACCTCTTAAAATCATAACACAGCACTATATGTTCCAGAACCGTATGACTATTTCCCATACCTTTGCTTTTCTATTAGCTACAACATGCAGAGACCTCCTAGAGTTTTAGTGCTAGGTATTCAACTGAAACTTACTGCAATTTCAGTTTCCTACCAAATGATAATCTCATGGTCAAGAATTACCTCTGAGAGACGGCTGTGATAGACACTACTGAACCCCAGGCAGCAGGTGACAAATGATGGCACAATGACATCAGACTGCTCACAGTAAGAAAAGTGACATCAAGATTATTTTCCCCTCCAACTTCCAAATTCTGAATTGAATCTTCTATAATTTAAAACTATTTAAATTTGGAGCCATTGCCAAGTGTGCAGTTCAGGAAACATGTTGAGGTCTTGCTACAGCCATAATAATCCATAATGTGAAATCCCATCGCAGCCAGTGGCAACTCCATCCTTAGCTCAGTCTTAAGGTCAAGTCCGTTCTTTAGCTCAGGCTAAAATATTTGGAGTCATTCTTGAGTCCCGTTTTCTCTCACCAACGCTTCCAATCTTTTCTACTCTTTAAAGAAATCCTACTGGTTTTACATTCAATCTATATATAATTCTCTTCTCTCTCTAATGTTACCACTAGCTATTACCACCCTATACTTGAATTAATGCAGTAACTTGCTAAATGAAATGTTCCCCTGCTTCCACCCTTTAATTCTCTAAAGAGAAGCCGGCGTATTTGTCTTAAAATGTAAATCAGATCAAGTCACTCCTCTGTTCAAAAAGCCTTGCCATGGCTCCTCCCCCATCTAATTCTGAGTAAACCCCCAATTTTTCTAATGCCTACCTAGAGCAAAGCACCCTCCTGCATTAGTGCTGTCCCGGCTGCATCCTGTGACCCAGTGCTCTTCCTCCAAGCTCTTCCCTTATATTCCTTCACATCCTCCAAGTACAGGTTTAGATGTCACCTTTGAAATGAAGTTGGCCCTGGCCACATTATTTAAATCACAGGCTGTCCCTCGCACTGTACTCTTCTTTCCCCTGCTCTGCTCCTTTTTCTAGTATTCATAGCACTTACTACCTTCTAACATACAAAGTAATTTCCTTATTCATTAGGCAATTCTCTATTGTCTATCATTTTCTGCCAACACAGAGACCCTCTCAGGGCAGTGATCCAAGTCTGTGTTGCTCACTGATGCATCGTAAGTACCTAAAGCAGTATCCAACTCAATATTTCTTGAATGAACGCAAGAATTCAAGATAGTTGGAAGAAGAAGAGGCGAGAGCGACCCCCGGACCGACCAAAGCCCATGCGCCGCTGCATCCCGCGCTCAGCGCCTACGTCCCGCCGCCGTCACCACCATGCCCAAGAGAAAGGCTGAATGGGATGCTGAAGGAGATAAAGCCAAGGTGAAGGACGAACCACAGAGAAGATCCGCGAGGTTGTCTGCTAAACCTGCTCCTCCAAAGCCAGAGCCCGAGCCTAAAAAGGCCCCTGCAAAGAAGGGAGAGAAGGGGCCCAAAGTGAAAAAGGGAAAAGCTGAGGCTGGCAAGGAAGGGAATAACCCTGCAGAAAATGGAGATGCCAAAACGGACCAGGCACAGAAAGCCGAAGGTGCTGGAGATGCCAAGTGAAGTGTGTGCATTTTTGATAACTGTGTACTTCTGGTGACTGTACAGTTTGAAATACTATTTTTTATCAAGTTTTATAAAAATGCAGAATTTTGTTTTACATTTTTTTTCTTTTTTTAAAGCTATGTTGTTAGCACACAGAACACTTCATTGTTGTTTTGGGGGAAGGGGCATATGTCACTAATAGAATGTCTCCAAAGCTGGACTGATGTCGGGAAACGCCTTTCCCTTTTAGTTTTGAGAGACTTCCTCTTGGCGCCCAGGAGGAGGGATTCCCTGACTGTGACACACATGGCCACCTTGGCACATAAAAGCCTTGCGGTATGGAAACACAAATTCGCTTTCATGTCCTCTTCCCCCTTTCCGTCTTTCAGCATAGACTTAACTCCCTTAAGCCCAGGCACCTGTTAGGACCTGACCCCCAGTCATTGGTTACCAGCGTCAGGCAATCTGGACTTGCCAGTGACGCCACTGAGATGGCACCTGCCAAAAGAGCAGTGATTTCATTTCTAGATTGTGGATCTTCAGATGAATTCTGCCATTTTCATTTCACTTCCTGAAAGTCAGGGTCGGCTCACGAAAAGTTGTTAAACAACATGCTAAATGTGAAATGTCAACCCTCACTCTAAACTTTCCCTGTTCAGAGCATCAGATGAAGACTTTGTTGGGGTTTATAGTGGCTTTCTGATTTTTGGTAGTCCATCGAAGAAGGGAGTTTGAAAGTTGTTGTACACTGTTAATGATTGTCTGCCCACGTCCTGCCTGAAATACCATGATTGTTTATGGAAAGTATCTTTAATAAAGCTGGATACAGTTTGGCTTGGGAAAAAAAAGCATTCAAGATAGTTATGTAAACTATTATGTGTTGGCTGAATTGCACCTAGAATTCTAGATGCAATTCTCAGTGGGCTGAAGCTCTGGACTGATCTGACGCTTTTGACCTTGCACTGAAACCTGCCCTACCTGGTGGTAATTCTATCTTCCTGATGATCACACAACTACTAATGTTTAGAGTAGATTACTACTAGGTTTTGTGGTAAGTTCAGTACATCATTTTGTTGAATCCTCATATCTCAGCAAGGCAGGTAATATTAGCCCCATTTTGCAACTAGTGAACTGAGACTCAGGAAGGTTATAAAACTTTTCCGAGTCACAAAACTAACAACACATCTGGGATTTCAGCCCAGATTTATCAGACTTGCAAGCCCATCCCTCTTTGCCACTATACTAGACTGTCTTCCTCTCTATGCTAAGTTCTTTTCTTTAGAAAATGCTACTATTTGAGGTTTAGGAAGAGATATGGTTTTGGAGTCAGAAAATCCAGATTTAAATTACATATTTGCTGTGCATATTTACATATTTGTACAGCAAATATGTCACTCAGGATCTCTGATCTCTTTATTCTCATACACAAAATGAAAACAAAATGTTTGCTTTGCACCTAAATGGGCCAGGTCATGATGACAAAACACAAAAAAACACATTATAAAATTGTAAAGTTCTGTTCAACATAAGATTTTCGTTTTAATAGATGCATTCCTTGGTGCCTGGGGCTAATATTTGGCACAGAAAAGAACTGATCAAAGAGAGATGATGTCAATGAATACTGATTTCAAGTCAGGTATGTAAGAAGCTGGAAAGTAATCACTTCATCTCAAGTCCTAACAAGTAAAAACTGAACAAACTGGCAAGTCGGCAAGTATTCTTAGCTCTATGGGAGAAGTAAAACGTCAGTGGGCAAACTGCTGATGCCACAGTTGGAAAGGCGGAAAGGCAAACACAAAGAATCATAACTTACAGGAGCAGAAACCCACAAGCGGAAACCTCCGAGAGAACACATCCATGGGTAGCACGACCTGAGCCGTAAATGAGAAGTTAGTTTCCGGAGACTCAGTGTGGACAAGACTGAAAGGGTAAAACTCCAGGGGGACCCAGTCATAGGTTGACCTCCCCATTTTTGTGAGCTTTATCTCCTGGAGCTTTACTAGGTTTTCATACTAAATATTAAAGAAAAACCCCTTCATGCCATGCCTCCAGCAAAGGAGGGAAACAGGAATCATTTTAAGGTATGCTAGAGCACTGTGTTCTTAACAAGGTCTACCCTCCAGACAAACTAGCTAAACTCAGACAAACCTCCTGGGGCATTATTAGAGCCTAACTGATCTGCGGGAAAGGATGATATCCAACTCTAGCCTCCTCTAGCCTTCCACACAGGGGTGAAAAATGCCCAACTTCAACCCACTCTAGTCATTTCTGACCCACCTAAGCAGGAATTGAGAGGGAGCATAACTGGGAAATATTTGTGAAGTTCACAATTTAGAGGCACAGGCTTGCTAAAAGAGTAAAATCTAATCGGAGGACCATGTACACTCTTCCCCTCCTCAATGCCTTACCACCGCAATACGAAAGGCCTATTTATAGCAGTTCCTTTTACCCAGTGCATAATATATGACTGTCAAGATAAAATATCAAGGCATACTAAAAGGCCAAAAACAGTTTCAAGAGACGGAGAAAGCATCGGAACTAGTATTAGATATGACAGGGATGTTGGAATTATCAGACTGGGAATTTAACACAGCTGTGATTAATATGCTAGGGGCTCTAGTGAAGTAGGAAACGTGCGAGAACGATGGACAATGTAAGCAGAGAAATAAAAATCCTAAGAAACAAAAAGAATACTAGAAATCAAAAACACTGTAATAGAGAATGCCATTGATGGGTTTATTGACAGACTGGACACAGCTGAGGAGAGAATCTCGGAACTTGAAGGTATGTGAATAGAAAGTTGCAAATCAAAAAATTAGTGAAACAAACTGGAAACCTGGAGCAGAATATCCCAGATCTATGAGACAACTACAAATGCTATTAACATATTCATACTAACGGGAAGATAAGGAGAAGAAAGAAAGAAACAGAAAAATATGTGACACAGTAATGACTGAGAATTTCCCAAAATCAATGTCAGACACCAAAACACAGATTCAGGAAGCTCAGAGAACATGAGGCAGGATAAATGTAAAACACACACACACACACACACACACACACACACACACACACACCCCTAAACATAACATATTCAAACTGCAAAAAATAAAGGCAAAGAAAGAGTCTTGACAAAAGTTGGAGGGAAAAAATACCTTATCTACGGGGAATCAAAGGTAAAAATTGCATCTGACATCTCAAAAACTACGGAACTAAAAAGAAAGTAGAGTGAAATATTTAAGATTTTGAGAGAGAAAAATAAACATAACCTAGAATTCTGTACCTGGCAGAATTATCTTTCAAAAGTGTAGGAGAAATAAAGATTTTCTTAGACAAACACCAAATTGGTAGCCTTGCATAAATGTGCCTTGCAGAAATGTTACAGAAAACTCATCAGAAGAAGAATTGTGTGTCAGAAACTCAGATCTACATAAAGAAAAGGAAGAGTATCAGGGAAGTAATAAGTGAATGTAAAATAAACACTTTTTAAATCCTTAATTGATCTAATAGATACAGTTTGTTCAAAAAATAACAATGTATTCATATATATATATATATATATATATATATATATATATATATATATATATTTTAGCTGTGTCCCCGCTCAATTCTCATCTTGAATTTGTAGCTCCCATAATTGCCTTGTATGTGGGAGTGACTCAGTGGGAGATAATTGAATCAGGTGGGCAATTTCCCCCATACTGTTATTGTGGTAGTGAATTAGTCTCATGAGAGCTGATGATTTTATAAGAGCAAATCCCTTTCACTTAGCTCTTATTCTCTTCTTTCTGCTGCCACATGAGAGGTGCCTTTTGTCTTCTGCCAGGATTCTGAAGCTTCTTCAGCCACATGGAACTGTGAGTCCATTAAACCTCTTTCTTTTGTAAACTCCCCAATCTCAGGTATGTCTTTATCAGCAGGATGAGAACTGGCTAATAAGCTTATGTATAAGTGAAATAAGCGACAGAAATTAAATAAAGAGAGATGAAGGAATTAGAATCAAGTACTTGGCATTATCTATAAAGCAGTAGAAGGTTATTTGAAAGAAGACTTGGATTAGTTGTAAATATATGGTGCAAACTTTAGAGCAACCACTGAAAGAAGCATGATTGGTATGCTAAGAAAGAAAGAAAATGGAATCACTTGCAATGCTCAATTAAAACCACAAGAAGTAAAAGAATGGAAAACAGAGAAACAATAAGGGCACATAACAAAATTAATAACAAATATAGTAGATAGTAGACCTACTATATTAATAATTACATTAAACACCAATAATCAGATTAGATTGAAAAACATTGCGCAATTTTATGTAGTTAAAAAGAAGTCCACTTTAACTATAAAAACAAATATCGATTAAAAGTAAAGAGATGGAGAAAGATGTAAAAGATATATTAAGTTAGCACTTATTAAAAAAAAAAAGTGAGAATAGCTATGTTAATTTCAGACCAAACACACTTCAGAGCAGGAAAAGATATCAGAGATTAAATGGCATAAATGCATGTTTTTCCCCCAAAAATAATATATTGAAGTCCCATATGTAACTATAGTTGGAGATGAGGGTCTCTAATAGAGTAGTTAAGGTTAAATGAGGTAATAAAATTGTGGTCTGATAGGATTAGTGCTCTAATCTAATCCTAATTTATTCCTAAACAGATAGCCCTCATCAGAAACTGAATTTGCCAGCACCTTGGCCATAGAATTCTAGCATCCAAGACTGGGGTAAAAAAAAAAAATGTCTGTCATTTAAGCTACACTGTTTGTAATATTTTGTTATAGCAGCCCAAGCAGACAGAGATAAAGGCACTGAATAGTGATAATTGATTTTCCAAGAAGACACGTAATCATTGTGTATACATGTAAAACTAGAGCATCAAAATATATAAGGCGAAAACTGATAGAACCATAAAGAGAAATAGATGAACCTGCCATTATAGTTGAAGACTTTAAAGCCTCCCTATCAGAAATGGACAGATCCACTAGGCAGAAAAGCAGCAAGCACAAAGTTGATCTAAGCAGCATCATCATCAATCACCTGTATATAATAGACATGTCTGGACTACATCAACTAACAATAGCAGAATACACCTTCTTCTCAAGCTCATACAGAACATTTATCAAGATAGATCACATCCTGGTTTATAAATCACACCTCAACAAATTTAAAACAATGGAAATAAATAAATATTTTCTCTCAAAATACAGTGAAAT